AGATATTGTTATAATATATATAATATTAAGGAAGATATACAGAGCAAAATTTTTTAATATAATAGAATAATATAAAATGATATTATAAAATTAAATATAAGATAATTAGCTAATAAATAAAATTAATATAATATCTGTTTAATATCTGTCTAATATTTTTTTTTAATATTAAGGTGACCACTTGAAGGTCTAGCATGTTATTAACTTTGTTTGCAAATACCAGGGCAGCCACAAGACTACCCCTGACTTTGTTACATTAATGAAAATATATTCTAGCTATACCTACATCTTTTGAGCATCTAATTAAGTAGTTTTCTATTATTAAGTACTACACTAGATGCCGTACCTATAATCCACTATTACTTGAGTTACCCAATTAAACTCTCTGATCAACTTAGCGCCATCAGATATTCTCCCAAAGAGGAACTGCTGCTAAGGCCCCTTAAGACTAGTTTATCCTCATGGTAAACCTATTAGAGCAGTTTATGTTTCACACATGTATTACCTAAATTTTTGGTAACTTATACCTAGGCTGAAACCAAGTACTTGCGGTATCTCTCCATTACCGTTACCTACTTCTTGCCTTTGTAAAGTTCACTCAGACCCCAGCACATACTTTACAGACTAATACCAACTTTTCTTCATCAACAGCATCCCAAACTTTCAATCCAGATAGCCTGAGGAAAGACCAGTAGGCATTATTTTGGTATTCTGATTGAATCTTTTTTCCTCATTTATACGGGGCCATTCCGTATACTTGTGGTCTAGTTAGTATTAGTGTCTTGTCCAGATTTGTACGCGACGAACCATGTAGGTATAAAATTCATTGATCCTTAATTTGTGATGCATAACTTTCATTTTTAGCTTGTTACTTTCTATTTGTTCGTTGACATTCTACATTAATTTTCTAAATTTTTTCATTTATATATTCCAAATGGTTAGACTTCCAAAAATGCCTGATACACCTGATAACTTTAACAACATAGTCAACTATCTACAACACAGAATTTTTGCAGAAAAATACAATAATACTATAAAAAAATCAAATTTCCAAAGAAGATGTAAGAATTTCATATATAATCAGCAGACCGGCTATCTTTTTTTTGAACAATTGTCTAAAGATGATAATGCTCTGCCCACTAAAAAGAGAGTTGTTCTGATCTATGACCTTGAGCTGAGAGAAGCTTTGTTTGAGAAGTTCTATGTTGGTGACGCTCACTTCGAGTATCATAAAACATATACAATGATTTATGAACGACATATTGGTATTACCCAAGATGAAGTCAAGAAGTATGTGAACGAGTGCCCAACCTGCATCCGAAATAGAAGCATCAAGGAAAAATCGAATTTAGCACCTGTTGTATCTGGTGGCCCATTAGAACACCTTTAGGTCGATTTAGTTGACCTACTATCATACGCTGAACATAACGATGGGTATAGCTATATTTTAACATTGATTGATGTATTTTCGCGTTATGTTTGGGCAATTCCTATTAAAGACAAAGAAGGAAGCACAATTTATGGCGAATTGGTAAACCTCTTTAAGAACTTCGGCCCTCCCACCAAACTACAAGCAGACAATGGATCTGAGTTCATAACCACCATTTTAAAAAATACCTGTGATGCATTTAAAATAAAGCTTGTTCACAGTCGTGCCAGACACCCTCAAAGCCAAGAAAAGATCAAAAGGTTTAATCAAACACTCGGCCGGCATCTAACAAAAATGATGTGGGACGAAGTTTCCGGAGTTCAAGGTTATTGTTGGATTAACGTTCTTCCCCGATTTGTAATTTGCTATAATAAGGCACCTTACAAAGCCCACAAAAAATCGCCTTATGAAGCGTTTTTTGGATTTAAGATGCGTATAGTTTATAATATACTGGAGGATATTTTATCTGAGATTATTATATCAGAGAACACTGCACCAGAGGATATTACGCTACCAGCAGACACAATCACTGCAACCCAAGATAATTATAACCAGGCCTTGTATGAATTTCACGCGATGCAAGTAAAACGTGTGCACGAGAAAGTTGTGCAAAATGATGAAACTTATTGAAATAAGTTGGTAATTTGCAGAAGTGTTCACAGAAGAAAAGTAATATTTGAACCAGGAGATAAAGTTGCGATTGCACCCGACTTTGATAATAACCAAAAAATGCGAAAGCGTAAGTTGGATCAGAACTGTAGTATTACTGGGAAGGTTGTTAGTATGTGTAGTAATAATAGAACTGTTAGAGTTGAGGTAAATGGTGAAGTAAAAAATTTTGCAGCTAAAAATTTGAAGAAGCTTCATGAGTAGCCTAAATAATATAACAAATAATATTTCATGTTTTATATAATAAAAATTATATTTTTTATAATACAATTAAAGATTTATTAATTTTAGATATTAATAAAACAATTTAAATTGAAAGTGTTAGAAAATTGTTTATAAAGATTATATATACGTACTATAAAAACTAAATTTTACTTATTTGCAGAGTAATACAAATCAAAAAAGGAAATAGAATTTTGTAAATAAACTATATAAGTACATAAAGATAGGAATTTAGAGTTAGCCGTTACTATTAGAGGCTATAGTAATAGGTTGTTGCTTACTAAAATTTTGTTTCTGATAATGCATAGGAAGACTTTTGTACAGTTTAAAGTACTTTTTTAAAAAAATAAAACTATTAAAAATAAACAAAAAGCATATAAAAAATTTTATTAGGGTTGTAGGATTCAACTATTAAAAATAATCAAAATCATTTTTAGTTTTAAAGTTAGCATGGTAATAACCTAATTCTATCTATTTTTAAGAAGTCGCTATTATGCTAACTTCTCTAAAACCAGAAATGATCTAATAGTTGAGTCCTACAACCCTAAAAAACTTTTTATATGCTTCTTTTTTTGTTTATTCGTAGTTTTATTTTTTTAAAAAAGTACTTTAAACTGTATAAATAATATAAAATTAAATTGATTTAAATAGCCAATAATGCAAAAGTCTTTCTATAGCATCGAGGTTGATCTTTCACACGTGTTCTGAATTCGGTTGATTCAAAATTGTCAAAATTTATTAGCCATTTCCTTGTTATGGGTTTGTATTACTCGCGCAAATAAGTGTTTGCGTAAAAACCATATTAGAATAATTATTTAACACTAACCATAAAGAGCTATTAGAATGATTATGCTAAGGCTGTTAAAAATCCAACAATCCTTTGCCCATATAAGGATCGGGTTAGCCCAATTTTTTTAGAATGGATCAAAGGGATCATTGGTCCTAATAAAATTCTAAAAAAGAAAAACCCAGTCTTGTCAATTATGAACCTCTTAATTTGTTTAACAAGATTAATTTCCTCGTAAAATAAAATTGTTGCCCGTCATGAATGTCCTATACATTTTTATCAATTATATAGTTCATGTGAGTATAAATTTTGATTTATTTCGAATTACAACTTATTTTAATGATAACAAATTGAATCTCATGCCCTTTAAAAAAAACCCTTGGAATTGTTTAGAAAATTATGAAATTATCCAATTTTTCAGTTTGAAAATTGACTTTATTCCAACATTTTAAAAGATGTTTTAATGTTTGTATTGTTTTCATTATGATGCTTATATGGGATGTAAAAATAGAAAATTTTTAAGTAAAAATTATCGTACAAAAAATGTATAAAAAGCGTATAAAAACATATACTTCCAATAAATATTCTTTAAAATGTCAGAACGGAGTTGATTTTCTGAACAATCAGATAATTTCAAAATTTTCTGAACAATTCCAAAAGATTTTTATAATGATTATTAAAGAAATTCTCATGTTCAAGATTTAATTGGTTATATAAGTTAGTGAATATTTACCCTTTTAAAGAATTTAAACATAAGACTTTCAAACAATTTCTGTTTAATGATCCTGAAGTGTATGATAAATTCAAATTGGCTGCATGACCAAGCATACTATAGCTAGAGGCTATGTTAATTAAAACAAACTTTTTTAAATCAATGAATTACCTTAAACATGCATATACAAGACCCGGGTCTGAACATTTCACTAATTTTTAAACCACTCAGTAGACCCTGGGTCTAGTATATGCCCAAAGATTAAATTAGAAAAAAAAATTTAAAGCACATTTATAATAGGCAGCCTAGCTATTTGAAAAAACTACTGTTGAACTACCCAAAACTGATATCAGTATTGAGATGTTATCAGATTTGAAAACATTATAAACTATTAAATTTGTATATCAAAAACCAATTTGGTAAATTAATTTTTATCAGATTTGATAGATTATCAACAATAGTTTATAATATTTTCAAATATGATAGCTTCTCAATACTGATACAGTACCTGTTCATTATGCATATCAGTTTTGAGAGATTTAACAATATTTTAAATCTTTTATATATATATTTATAGTGGTAATCAGAAAAAATCTTAATTATAAAATAGAAATTTTAAAATTTTAAAACATGTTTTTTATTTTTTTTTGATTTCTTAGTTTTATTAATTTATTTTATAATAGTAAATATATTTGAAGTACTAATAAGTTATTTTTAATATTAATTTAGTTAAAACTAATATATACTTCTTATTGTATTTATTAAATATGATTTTTTTTAAAATTAGTCTAAATAATTTTATTAAAAATTATTTCTATATATATATATTAAACTAAGACTACACTGATCTATATACATATAATTTTTGTTTATATTATCTTTTATTGTTTTCTTTTCATAATGTTTTTTTTAGTATTATTGCTATTACTAATATTATTGTTAGGTTATTGCTCTAGTTGATATTTTTTAGTTATTGATATCATTATTATTAGTATCTTTTAATTATTGTTGATATTATTATTATTGGTGCCTTTTGGTTGTTGTTGTTATTATTTATGATGTTTTTTTTTTGATTAGTAATTTTGCTATTTTTTTTTTCAATATATTGGCAGCCTCACCAGTATCTTTTATTTATCTAAGTTGCAGATCTGACATCTCTCGGCTTCCTTTATAGGTGTTCAAGAGCGGTCTGCCTCACTGGTTAAGACTATTGCTCGCACTGGAGGGCTATACCAAGCTAGCCAGTAAAACCATACCAAAATGGTTTTATTTTATTTACTATAAACTCTTTTATTGACGTAAATCAGATAACTCTTTTTTTTTTTTCTTTTTTTTTCCAATTTCTTTTTCTTAACTTTTCCCATAGTTTGATCCTGGTTTACGGAAAACTCCCCTAAATTTTTGCTTGAACATTTTGTGTTAGTGGTCGATCTTTCAGATTTCGGCTTATTTTCTTTCTTTTTTTTAAGGGTAATACCTTCTTTCTTTTTCCAGTCAGTAATCACTAAACATCTTTGTTTTTAGATATTCTCGTAAAAGAAGTTTCATGCCAGATTAACTGCAGTTTCAACATAAATCTTTGTTTGTTTTAAAGGTTTTATCTTGAAAAGGATTCTTCTAAAATTTTTCTCTTGAAGTAGGCCTTTGAGTATACCGCATCTTGTTCTAATTTTTTCTCTCTTGAAAGGCTCCAAAATAGAGATTTGAGATGTATTTTGCCTAACTATTTCTTTGCCTCTTCTAACAGACCTGCCCAGACAAGATTTGACACTGTCTGTTCTAATTCACTCCACTTTTCTTCATATTTCTCACATCTAGTCAGATGATCTTGATCTTCTTCAATGTTTTTCCACAAACCTTACAGTCAGAGTTTTTATATATATCTGATCTTCTATTAGCTAGAACTTTTAGAACAGGCAATTTTTCATAAAGGCACTTAATTAATATCCGAGTCACTTATTCTTCTTATGGCTAGTGCACCTAATTCTATTTTGATTTTTGATTTTCCTCTATAAGATAGGCTAATGGTAAGTATTTGTTGCATCTTCTGGTTTCTTCTTTCATATTGCTGTTGTTGATCTTTATTTTACACCTGTTTGAAAGCTAAGAATCATTTGTATAAATTGTTTGGTAGAGTCTTCTACTGTCTGATCTTCCCAACTCAAAGTGACATTTATTTTTTGAGGGGTTTTTCTATAATACTGTACTATCACTATCTTCTACCTTAATTCTTAACTTTGATAAACTATCTGCTCTGTCATTCCATCTATTTTCACTATAACTTTTAATCTTTACTAAATCTAACTGAATATCTTTAATATTAACAATATCAACTATATTACTTATTAGATCATAGTTTTCTTCTTTTAGGAACTGATATACTCTTCTTCTTCTTCTCCTTTTTCTATATCTTCTATTGCTGCTAAACTATTTGTATAGATCTTGGCTTTCCTCTTACTTGATATGATGAGAAGTATATACCAGATCCTGAGCAACTCCGCTTTTGTTAATGAAGGCTAATTTCTTGCTCCAAAGAATTCTTCATTTATGACTTCACTTTTGGTTTTGTTTAAATATACCCAACTGACACACATTCTGTCAGGTTTAGCTTGTGAGAGGTCAATATTGTGCTTATTAGATCTATCTTTGTAAAACACCATGTAAAGTTGGAGGAGTAATTTTGCTATTAGTATTATTATTATTTAGAAAATAGATTAGAAAAACTACTATCTAATATTTGCTTTTATATAGAGTTTTTCTAGTTTATTTTTTATTTATAAGCTTATAAAATTTGTTTATTAATATTCTTTTTTTTGCTGATATTTCTTTCTTGAAATAATTTGAAATTAGATTTTTAGTTCTTGATAAGTATATTTACTTCAATTGTTAGATTTCTTGCTTATAAAATTCATTTACTAATAATATTTTTTTTAGTATTTTTTTCTTAAAATGATTTGAAATTATATTTTTAGTTTTAGATAGGTATATTATTTTAATTGTTAGATTTCTTGCTTGTAAAATTTATTTACTAATGCTCTTTTTTTTTGCTAGTATTTCTTTCTTAGAATTATTTGGAATTAAATTTTCAGCTCTGGGTAGATATATTTATTTTGGTTCTTAGATTTCTTGCTTGTAAAATTTATTTACTAATATTCTTTTTTTTTGCTAGTACTTTTTTTTGAAATAATTTGAAATTAGAATTTTGGTTCTAAGTAGGTATATTTATTTTAATTATTAGATTTCTTGCTTGTAAAATTTATTTACTAATACTTTCTTTTGCCAGTACTTCTTTCTTGAGATGATTTGGAATTAGATTTTTGGCTCTGGGTGGGGTATATCTACTTCAATTGTTAGATTTCTTGCTTGTAAAATTCATTTACTAATGCTTTTTTTTGCTAGTACTTCTTGCTTGAAATAATTTAAAATTAAATTTTCAGTTCTGAGTAGATATATTTATTTCAATTGTTAGATTTCTTGCTTGTAAAATTTATTTACTAATACTATTTTTTTTCTGATACTTCTTTTTTAAAATGATTTGAAATTAGATTTTTAGCTTTGAGTAGATATATCTACTTTGATTATTAGATTTTTTATTTGTAAAATTTGTTTACTAATTCTCTTTTTTTTTAGTATTTCTTTCTTAAAATAATTTGAAATTGAATTTTTAGTTTTGAGTAGATATATCTACTTCGTTTGTTAGATTTTTTGCTTGTAAAATTCATTTACTAATGCCTATTTTTTTTTAATACTTCTTTCTTGAGATAATTTGGAATTAGATTTTTGATTCTAGATAGCTATATTTACTTTAATTGTTAGATTTCTTGTTTATAAAATTCATTTACTAATACTTTTTTTTATCTATATTTCTTTTTTAGAATGATTTAAAATTGAATTTTCAATGCAGGATAGATATATTTACTTCAATTATTAGATTTTATACTTATAAATTTGTTTACTAATACTATTTTTTTTTTTAATATTTCTCTCTTGAAATGATTTGAAATTGAACTTTCAGTTCTGAATAAATATATTTACTTTAATTATTAGATTTCTTGCTTGTAAAATTCATTTACTAATATTCTTTTTTTTGCTAGTACTTCTTTCTTAGAATAATTTGAAATTAGATTTTTGATTCTAGGTGATATATTTACTTTGATTGTTGAATTTTTTGCTTGTAAAATTTGTTTATTAATGCCTTTTTTTTTGCTGATACTTATTCTTGAGATGATTTAGAATTAGATTTTAGTTTTGAGTAGATATATCTACTTCAATTATTAGATTTTTTGTTTGTAAAATTTATTTACTAATACTTTTTTTCTAGTACTTCTTTCTTGGGATAATTTGAAATTAGATTTTCAGCTTTAGATAGGTATATCTATTTTGATTGTTAGATTTTTTACTTGTAAAATTTGTTTGCTAATGCTTTTTTTTTCTAGTGCTTCTCTCTTGAGATGATTTAAAATTGGATTTTTGGTTCTGAGTGGGTATATTTACTTTGATTGTTAGATTTCTTGCTTGTAAAATTTGTTTACTAATACTTTTTTTTTCTAATACTTCTTTCTTGGAATGATTTAGAATTAGATTTTGTTTACTAACATCTTTTTTTTCTGATACTTCTTTTTTAGAATGATTTGAAATTGAACTTTTAGCTCTTAGTGGGTAAATTATTTCAATTATTAGATTTCTTGCTTGTAAAATTTGTTTACTATCACTTTTTTTCTAGTATATCTCTTTTGAGATAATTTCTAATCATGGATTCAGGATATAGGTGAGATTTTTCAAGTTATGTGAAAATATACTCTCTAATCAAGATCAAAATCACGTGATTACATAATTGATTTGAATACCTAACATAATCTAATCCTAACTCTAATCTTAATATCCCAATTAAATAAAAATTACTAGAGGAAGTTTTTGTGAGAACTACCAACTATATCAATTTATACTATATATACTATATACACTAAATATTTATTTTTTATTTTATTTAATTAAAAACAATTTTATTACAATATATATCTGACCAAAAAAAAACAAAAAACATAACTACAGAACCGAAAAAAAAGAAGTAGTAGTTAAATATAAATTAACTATATATACAAGACTGAAAAATTGAATGCTATAAACTCTAGCAATAAAAAAACTCAACTACAGAACCAGAAGAAAAGAAGTGATAGTTAAATGCAAATTAACTATATACCCAAGACCAAAAGACAAAAGAACTGAGCTATAGGACCAGAAGAAAAGAAGTAGTAGTTAAATACAAATTAACTATATATCCTAAGACCAAAAACAAAAAAACTAAACTACAGGACTAGAAGAAAAGAAGTGGTAGTTAAATATAATTTAACTACATATCTCAAAATCAAAAAATGAAAGAACTCAACTACAGAACTATAAGAAAAGAAGTAGTAGTTAAATACAATTTAACTATATATCCTAAGACTGAAAAATGAAAGAATTTAACTACAAGATTTGAAAAAAAGAAGTGATAGTTAAATACAACTTAACTATATACCCTGAAACTAAAAAATGAAAGAACTTAACTATAGAACCAGAAGAAAAGAAGTAGTAGTTAAATGCAAATTAACTACATAACTAAAATCTAAAGACAAAAGAATTGAACTACAGGACCAGAAGAAAAAAAGTAGTAGTTAAATATAATTTAACTATATACTCTGAGGCTGAAAAATGAAAAAACTCAACTACAAAACCAGAAAAAAGAAGTGGTAGTTAAATGCAAATTAACTATATAATTAAAACCTAAAAAGACAAAAGAATTGAACTACAGAACCAGAAAAATAGAGTGGTAGTTAAATACAATTTAACTATATACTCTGAGACCGAAAACAGAAAAAACTCAACTACAGAACCAAAAAAAAAAAAAAGTAGTAGTTAAATACAATTTAATTATATACTCTAAAACTACAGAATTGGAAAAAAAGAAGTGGTAGTTAAATTTTATTTAACTATATATTTTGAGACCAAAAAAATGAAAGAACTCAACTACAGAACTAGATGAAAAGTGGTAGTTAACTACAAATTTTTTTTTAATGTTAAAGTAACCTCATAATCAGTATCTTTATTAGTTTTTGTACTAAACTAATCAAAGTTAGCCACTACTTATTAGGTACATGATTTTGGAAAGTACAACTAGCTACACGTATAATTTTTAATTGACTATTTAAGTAGTCTACTTATTATCAAATTTTATACTAGATGCTATACCTATAATTTAACTAAGAAATTATCTATTTAAACCCTCTGTATCTTACATCCTTTTGAGAAACCAATACCTGCCATAGAAATATCTCAACTTAGAGCTAATTTACCCTTGAGATAAACTTGTTAGAGTTTTCCATACCCATAATCTGGCTAATCTAGACTTTTGGTAACTTATACTAAGTCTGAGAACAAGTACTTGCGAGCTGAAGCCGCTACTATTATCTACTCCTGCCCTTGTAGAGTTCACCCAAATCTTAGTACACACATTACAAACTATCTTTCATACTTCCCGAATTTCCAAACTACTAATTCAGATAGCCTAGAAAAGCTGTGATTTGCTCCTGATCCTCACAGTTGGGTCTTTTTCCTCTGGTTACTCTTCCAATAGCCTGGTTGGTAGAGTGCCTTGCCTAATACTTTGGTCCTATTTGGTAATCTGCTTTTCTAATAATAATCTTTTATATAGTACTATCAAAGATCTGTGCTACTTCTCTACTCAGGTCTTGCCAAGCATATATCTAATCTTCCTGGTTCCTTGGGTTTACAACAATCCAAAATATTTCATATAACTCATACATTATATGAGTGCCCTATGATCTTCTAATTTTTGTTGGTGCTACCAAGGTTACAGAGATTCTGTTCTAATCGATCAACAGAAGATAGTAGTGTCATATAAGTAGAATTTTTCGAAATTCGTCACCAGTAGGTTTCGAACTCCTACCTATCCAACATATCGCTTGGGAGTGCGACAACTTAACCACTTCACTAAGTCACCACACCCTTAGTTAACTACAATTTAACTATATACTCCAAGACCAAAAAACAAAAGAACTCAACTACAGAATTAGAAAAAAGAAGTGGTAGTTAAATACAAATTAATTACATATCCAAAATTTAAAGATGAAAAAACTAAACTACAGGACTAGAAGAAAAAAGTAGTAGTTAAATACAAATTAACTATATACTCTGAGACCAAAAAACAAAAAAACTAAACTACAGGACCAGAAGAAAAGAAATGGTAGTTAAATACAGTTTAACTATATACCCAGAAACTGAAAAATGAAAAAACTCAACTACAGGACTGGAAGAAAAGAAGTAATAGTTAAATACAATTTAACTGCATATTTTAAGATTGAAAAACAAAAAAACTCAACTATAGGACCAGAAGAAAAGAAATAGTAGTTAAATACAACTTAACTATATACCTCAAGACTGAAAAATGAAAGAACTTAACTACAAGATCAGAAAAAAAGAAGTAGTAGCTAAATACAAATTAACTATATAACTAAAATCTAAAGACAAAAAAACTAAACTACAGAACTGAAAGAAAAGAAGTTGTAGTTAAATACAATTTAACTATATACTTTGAGGCTGAAAAATGAAAGAACTCAACTACAGGACCAGAAAAAAAGAAGTGGTAGTTAAATACAAATTAACTATATAACCAAAACCTAAAGACGAAAGAACTAAACTACAGGACTAGAAGAAAATAAATGTAGTTAAATACAATTTAACTACATATTTCAAGACTGAAAAATAAAAGAACTCAACTACAGGACCAGAAAAAAAGAAGTGGTAATTAAATACACTTTAACTATATATTTTGAGACTGAAAAATGAAAGAACTCAACTACAGAACCAGAAAAAAGAAGTGGTAGTTAAATGCAAATTAACTATATAATCACAAAAGAATTAAACTACAGGACCAGAAAAAAAGAGTGATAGTTAAATACAATTTAACTATATACTTCGAGACCAAAAAAATGAAAAAACTTAATTACAGAACCAGAAGAAAAGAAGTAGTAGTTAAATACAATTTAACTACATACTCTAAAACTAAAAAACAAAAGAACTTAACTACAGAATCAGAAGAAAAGAAGTGGTAGTTAAATAAAATTTAACTATATACTATGAAACCAAAAAAATGAAAGAACTCAACTACAAGACTAGATAAAAAGTAGTAGTTAACTACAATTTAACTATATACTCCAAGACCAAAAAATAAAAGAACTCAACTACAGGATCAGAAAAAAAGAAGTGGTAGTTAAATACAAATTAATTATATACCCAAAATCTAAAAATGAAAAAACTAAACTACAGGACCAGAAGAAAAGAAGTGATAGTTAAATACAAATTAACTATATATCCTAAAACTGAAAAACAAAAAAACTAAACTACAGAACCAGAAGAAAAGAAGTAGTAGTTAAACACAGTTTAACTATATATCCAGAGACTGAAAATGAAAAAACTCAACTACAGGACTAGAAGAAAAGAAGTGATAGTTAAATACAATTTAACTGTATATCTTGAGATCGAAAAATGAAAAAACTCAACTACAAGACCAGAAGAAAAGAAATAGTAGTTAAATACAACTTAACTATATACCCAAAACTAAAAAATAAAAAAACTTAACTACAGGACCAGAATAAAAAAAGTGGTAATTAAATACAAATTAACTATATAACTAAAATCTAAAGACAAAAAAACTGAACTACAAGACCGGAAGAAAAGAAGTTGTAGTTAAATACAATTTAACTACATACCTTAAGACCAAAAAATAAAAAAAACTCAACTACAGGACCAGAAAAAAAGAAGTGGTAGTTAAATACAATTTAACTACATACTTCGAGACTGAAAAACAAAAGAACTCAACTACAGAACTAGAAGAAAAGAAGTGGTAATTAAATAAAATTTAACTATATATTCTAAGATCGAAAAATAAAAGAACTCAACTACAGAATCAGATAAAAAGTAGTAGTTAACTACAATTTAACTATATACCCCAAGACCAAAAAACAAAAGAACTCAACTATAGGATCAAAAGAAAAGAAGTGGTAGTTAAATACAATTTAACTATATATCCAAAATCTAAAAACGAAAAACTAAACTACAGGACCAAAAGAAAAGAAGTGATAGTTATATAAAATTTAACTACATAGCCCAAGACCAAAAACAAAAGAACTTAACTACAAGACCAGAAAAAAAGAAATAGTAGTTAACTACAATTTAACTACATACTCCAAGACTGAAAAATGAAAGAACTCAACTACAGGACTGAAGAAAAGAAGTAGTAGTTAAATACCAATTAACTATATACCCAAAACTGAAAGATAAAAGAACTGAACTATGGGACTGGAAGAAAAAAAGTAGTAGTTAAATACAATTTAACTACATACCCTGAAACCGAAAAATAAAAGAACTTAACTACAGGACTAGAAAAAAAAAAGTAGTAGTTAAATACAATTTAACTATATACTTCAAGACTAAAAAAATAAAAGAACTCAACTACAGAACCAGAAAAAGAAGTGGTAGTTAAATACAAATTAACTATATACCCAAAACTGAAAAATAAAAGAACTGACTGAAAAAAAAAGTGGTTTAAATACAATTTAACTATATACTTTGAGACCAAAAAACAAAGAACTTAACTACAGGACTAGAAGAAAAGAAGTAGTAGTTAAATACAATTTAACAACATACCCTAGATTGAAAAAATGAAAAAACTCAACTACAGGACCAGAAGAAAAG